GAAACAATTAACTTGGTTGTCTGGTTGCTAATAATAGGGACCCCACATTATTTGACCCCCAGAAAGTTCTAGTTGGCAAAGGAAGCAGCTTATCAGCTGACAAGAGAAGAGCACATTGGACAGAAGGAGCCCGCCCGCATTAACAAGTAAGTCCCTGCAGAGAGAGGAGCTTGGGACACATTTGAGAAATTAAAAGACCAGGAGCTTGGCACAGAGAGTAGAGTAGCAGAATATGAATTGGAGGAGATTAAGCAATGGTCACGTCATGAGAGAAACACAGTGGGTTTTGATATTTACCCTAAGAACAGTCGGTCGCAGTTGAAGATACTTTGCTAAGCGAGGTGGTGTGACCTGGTTCAGCGATTGGAGTGCCCTGGCCGCCATGGGCGTCAGCGGCAGTGGGGGGGCAGCTCCAGGGGCGATGCCCCAACGTTCAGACGGCGGGCTCTCGCGGCGTTGTAGCGTGTCCCCTAATCCATGTGTTCATCCTTTTATACTGTGGCGTACACCCTGCATTTTGTGCATTATAAAATATAAAAAGTTGAAATTTTAAAAGAACGAGGGAAGAATTTACAGATACAGAGGGGTTGCTTTCTCACCAACCCCAACCAGTTAGCGTTCCGGGATGCATGTCAGCCACCTGGAGACCAGTTTTAACAGGATCATAGAGCATGGACAGTGGCAGAGGGATGGTCTGAAGGCAGAAATGAGGAGCTTGCACTAACAGCACTTGGAAATTGGGTAGGTGGTAGTAACTAGAGAGAGGAAGGTGTGAGGAGGGCTCTTAGAGTTCTGGTTTGTGGGCCTGAGAGGAGAGCAGCGCACCCAGAGGGTAACAGCTGCTCTGGGAAGACGTGAACTGTGCTTGGTACAGTAGCGTTTCACCCGAATCTGGTGTTTTATCCGAGCACATACATCATAGTGCCTTTACTGACGCTAAAATGGGAGGGGGCAACCTTGGTCTGTCCTCAGGAAGCAGACAGAGAGAGAAGAGTGTGGGGTGGTTATTCTTGCTCTCACTTCTGAGCACACGACAGGATCGGTTCGGTACTGGCTCCTCGACTTCTGATCAACTTTTCAGGCTGGAGGCAGAGTTCCACAACGAAAAATAAACGACTTAACAAAGCAGATGCCAGGAGAGGCACACATTGAAACTGCCTCCCTCAAACCTAGCACACGAGCAGTTCATCAGCTGTGCGCAGTCATTTTTTTATTTTATTCAAAATAAATAATATGCATTTGAGGCCATCCGCTAGGTGAGGATTAAATTAGGATCAGGGAGATCCAGTCATATATACAATTTTGTCTCAAGAAAAACGAGAGATGTCCTATATGGTGGTGTTATTTTCATATGTGGCTATAGATGCTTGATGCTCCATTTCCTGAGATGATACATGAAGATTTTTTTAATTAAAAACCATACATATTTTAAAATAAAATGAACCATGTGTAAATTTCATGTCTCCTAGCACAGTGCCCCGCAATGTTTTTCCCCAGTTTTATTAAAGGGTGGTTGGCAAATAAAAATGCAAGATAATTTAAATTGTACATGGTGACGATATGATATGCATATACATTGTGAAGAATTTTGTGTATGCATGAGAATATTAAAATTCTCTCAGCAAATTTCAGTCACACAATGCTGTGTTAGCAACTATAGTCATGTTTTAATATTCGATTCTCAGACCTTATTCCTCGTTAACTGGAAGTCAGTACCTCTCCCTGTGCTGACCAACATCTCCCTGTTTCTCCAGCATCCCTTCCAGCTCCTGCCGACCACGTCTCTGTTTTAATGAATCATATACAATTTTTTACTGTCTCCAGCCGGCCATATTCTACTTTGTATAGTTCCCTCAGGTTCATTCATATTAGCACAAACAGCAGAGTAGCCTCCATTCTTACGCTCCATAATAGTCCCGTGCATACACATACTGCGTACCCGTGGTGTGTACTTGGATGTCTTGACTGTTGTGACCAGTAGCAGCAGTGACGTGGATGTGCCAATGTCCTGTTTTCTTCTGTTTCCTATTTTCGTTTCCATTAAGTAAACACCAGAAGCGTGATTGCTTGATCATGTGATGGTTCTATTTTTAATTTTTGGTGGAATTGCCACCGTTTGCCTTGGTAGCTACACTGGTTTGCATTTCCATGGTAACTGTTTGCTGCTTGGTTGTTTGTTAATGCAGGCGTCCATTCGCGTGCACCACCTTCCTCCATTCTGTTCTAGATAGCTGCTAATAACCCAGTGCTCCTTTCTGCTCCTCTCCTCAGTGTATGTAGTAGAGCTTTATAGCTGTGAGGGCCCTATTTGGGGACCTTCCTGAGATGGTCAACATGTGAACACTGCTAATGTAGAAGCTGATCTGTGCTCACCAGAGTGCAATTCATATTAAAACCAGTCTTTAAATAAACATTATCTAACCCTTAGAAAAAATACTGAAATGGGTAATATCCCCATTACAAATTGCCTTGGCACTAACTGCAAATAGTGGAAGCCTCTTTGAGGACACGGATGCCGAGGGTTTAAGGCGCACTCATGAAACTGCGCTGTTTGTCAGAATGTCCTGTATATAGTAATCACAAATAGTAATGCTGAGCAAATAAACAACCTGTCATTTTCTGCTGCTAGTATCTCACCCAAGACTTCAAGATTTCCCTGCTTCACCTAACTGTGAAGAATGTTACGAAATGTTGAGAAGTCGGGATGGCTTGGGATACCTCTAATGTATGGACTCCGTCAGAATTGCATGAATACCTTGGCAACACTATTTTCAGGCCAGAATGGCTGTTTGGGCTGGTCCTAGACCTTGAAATACTGCTTTGTGATGTATCTTAACCTCTTTGATTCATGCTGTCGTTTACAGCCCAGGTGGAAATAGGCTTTAAGCACATCTTAATGTGTCTAACTTGGAGAAATGTCTTCTCATGAGTAAGATGTAAGATATAAGAGGATATTGTTGCTAGTTCTGAAACTAATTATGCTGTAATTATCATCTAGCTAGACGCCAAATGTTTTCTCCTATGTTTCTCTCTCTCCCAGCCAAGTGAAGAAAGCGTTAATAGCATCAGTATTAAGGAGGAAGTGCTATTTGCTTTATGCATATGATAGAATGAATAATTTAGTATCTTCGGGAAATGCAAACTGCAGTAGAATTCAAGCAACTTTATCAGAATTTAGATCAGTATTTTCATGTAGAAAGTAACAGTAGAAAGGAAATGCTTAAAGATACAAAAGTGCAAGAATGTTGCATAATATTTAAACTGAAAATATTGGGAAGTTTTGGTTGAAAGGTCTCGTCGCAGGGGTGGTAACAGTTTGCCTGCATTCTGACAATGATCAGGTGACTTTTTGGAACAATGATTGGTAATGGAAGGTGGCAGCTTCCTTGTTGTCAGAGACAAGATGATTTCTCAGGTTCACCTTGTAAGTTTTTATACTTTCTTTCTCTTAAATATGGATTAAAGGGATGTAGGGTAAAACTTGAAGACTAGGCATGTTTACTTAGTAAAGACCTCATGGAAGGCAGTAATTTACTAACACCAGTAAGACAGGCTTTTTAAAAGTTTAAACTGAAGATATTATTGAGGATTTTCTAAATTCCTTTGGAATGACCTAATGCTGGGTAGACATTTTTTTTAATGTATACCTGTGATCTTATGTCATTGCTGTCAAAATCGTGCATGCAACTTTAATGACAGTAGATTGGGTAGTTGGAAGTACTTTGTAGAGGTAACAGTATCAATCTTATTTTGTTTGAAAATATCTGCTGTATATAACATTCTTAAAGCAAGATGAAAATTAATTTGGATTATATTAATCTGGTTTCTAAATCAAAAAATTCTCTTGATTACTTGAGATATCATTTCCAGATGTGATTCCTTTAAATATGAATTGGCTTGGTTTGATTCTGAGAAAACTTTTAGTTACTATTTAAAGAGATCATTTTTAGGAAAAACTTACAATACTGTCTTGCTTGCTTTTATGTAGTGTTTTCAAAGTCAATATATATTTAATCTGTTCGTTGTTTCTTGGTTAATACCATTGGAAAAAGAAAATCTTTTCTATACTGAAAAGAATTTCTTTAGGATTTTATAGAAAATGATTGATGTAAAGTTTTAAATGTCACTAATGTAATAGTAAGAAATTTAATTTTGTTTCCCCATCCCAATTTTAAATGTTACCTTCATTTTTGATAAGCCCTTTCTCTTTTTTATAACTTATCTCCTTACAAATTTTTTTTTCTTAAAGAGAAATAATTTTATTAATACTTAAGGTAACATTTAATGTAGATAATCTGAATATCAAATGGCTATTTGTGGTGGTCACATTTTTAATAGTAGCTTTAATCAATGTATACATTTGATTTAAATGTACATTTACTTATGGGGGAAAAGGAACAATAAAATATGGCTTGATGGAATAATGAAGAGCTTTAATGTTTTTCAAAGTGTAAAAGCAAATGAAGATATTTTATATCAGTGAATATGAAATACACTAATCGCTATTAGCTGTTTAAAATGGCGTTGGTGTTTCTCAGCTAGCAGTACGAAGAGTTCATCTGTTGTTTAATTGTCAGCATTCCCCCTAAAGTTTTTTAGCTACAAATTCTCCTAAATGAGCGCTGCTCTCTAAGGTAGATGCCGTGCCATTAATGATGGTCAATAGATCGTGACTTCTTTAACATTTTTCAGAATATTGTAAAATGTGAATTGATTGCACTGTCTGATCATATAATTCAAAGTAATCTACAAGTGCACCCTTTGATCTAAGGCTTTTGTAATAGGGTTTTTCCGTAAATAAGATTACACATAAAGGTTTTTTAAGCTTATGTTAAAGAAGATACGTTCTTATTAAATTACAGAGCTTCCAGAATGAGCATCTAGATAGGACGTATTGTGTAAATACACTTTGACCTTTCAAAGCACCTTTTAGTTTGTGTGAAGTTCTTCAGATGGCCCCTTGTCCTTTGAAGCTTCTAACACCAAGGTGTCTGTTGCAGCGCAGAGCAAGGTTACTGCTACCCAGGACAGCACTAATTTGCGATGTATTTTCTGTGGTAAGCAACATTATGTTTACATTATTTTTTCAAGCTGTGGTACATACTACTTGCACATTTCCATAACTTTTGTTTCTTTAGGCCATAGTCTGGTTTGTGGTATTTGGGATATCTAGAGCAAGCTACTGTTTCATGTTGTGATATTTGTTGTGGTTCATGTAGGTGATCTGGTCAGCTTTTGAGTTGGTATCGTAGTGAGCAGTTAGCTTAGAACTAGGATCTTAAGACTTCTTGTTTACTTCTGCCAACACAAGTGAAAGGGGTTTTTGTTTGTTTGTTTGTTTTTGTTTTCAACTATTTTGTTTGAGAGCAGTCTTTTACTTTAGAATTTAAGGGGGAAATTTATATCCATCTTACTGTGATTTGGGAAATGTAAATGTGCCTATTGGAAGGGAACTTTTGCTTAATTGAATTAATATTTAGATGTACATGTCATGAGGCAAATGTCACCTATTGCCTTAATAGGTCTATTTCTGACTAAACAGCCCCCTTTATTCAGCGGGCCAGGTATCTGTGGCTTATGAGTAAATGGTGTGCAGAGTGCTCTCATTTGCTCCCACTCGTGTACATACTGTGTGCACATATCTATACACACATACACACTTTTACAAACCAGATGTCACTAACCCCCCAAATTGCAGTTAATGAGCGGTGTACATGTCCTTTCACAGGGAAATCGTTGCATATAGATACAAACACACGCACCCTTGTCTGAACATTTCTTACTCTCCTTCATTCTAGAGCTTTGTTTCGAAAAACTCAAGTTCAAAAAGTAACTTAATTTTTAGTTATGTTCTTTTTTTTTTCTTCTGACTCATAATATACTCTTTTTGATTCCTATCAACCTTACTGGCCAGATTATTTTATGATAAATAACATTATAAAGTGATAACATTGTTAAAATTTTACCCAAGCAGTTCAGCTGTGTAGATATACTTTATTCATGTTCCTCGGAGCTTTCAATGTCATTTCAGTACTACTGAAGCATCCTTACCCATAAAGGGAGTTAAGGTTTATTTACTTCCTGGTTTAGACAAAGAAGCACGTGTTATAAATTTCCAAAAATGGAGACTTCTGATGTGTTTCTTTATCACCTACAGTTACATTGCTGTAACATCACTGCTCCAGGTGATGTGAGTCATTGAGCCACGGTGTGGCTCTTTGTTGCCACCCTCCCCAGATTCCAGAATTAATCGCACAGGTTAAGTGCTCATCAGCTACTTTAATTTCTCGTGTTTCTGCCTCCTCCTGGGGGTCCTTCTAAGGGCATCTTTTGAACTCGCCATGAGTGATTATTCATGTCTGTGGTATTAGGACTCTTGTTCTTTCTGAAAACCTGGTTGCTATTCTATACTTGCTACTTAATAGTTGAGTTGCACAGGTAGAATGATAGTTTACAGTTGCAGAGGAAGGATGATAATATAGGAGATTTCTGAAGTCATAAAATAATACATTTGAAAGCAGCCCCCCATTGTTGATTTAACTGTGTACAGGTGATGCGATGACCATTGCTGAGTTTAAATTGATTGTATTGTGTATAATAATGCTGATTCGTCTTTTTAGTTCTGTGTTTTTAAATAGTCTGTGACTAAGTGTCATAGTAGTTTTGTGAAAATTAAAATGTGAGAGTAAATGAAGTAATTTTAACCAAAACTCAATGTTGGAGTCACGAATGAAATACCACATTCATTCCTGGTTTGGAGAGAAAATCTGTTCTGATTTCCATCATGTGTAGGGTGCCGTGTCAGGGACACGGACAAAATTTCTTAATTAAAAATTCCCATACTTTGTTATGTGAATTCTAGCCAGGACAAATTAAGATCAACTGTGGTCCTGGCTGTGGCAAAACTGACCTTCAAGTGGCTGCTGCTCTTGGATTACACACCTAAGAGCGTAAGCACAAAGCACGCTCCCTTGTTCTCCAAAAGAGAATTGTTAACTAGCACACGATACTCAGAAAACATTACTTACCTGCTGGTTACAGAAGCACTTTCTTCACATTCTCTGAGAACACAGGTACACATCTAGGGATGTGACCGATGTGACAGTTACATCCAGCAAATGCAGGGCAGCGGCAGCCTCTCCTTGGCTTGGCTGCTGCTCGTGTGTGCCGTGCCTTGGTACGCCCTGGCACAGTGTGCCAGTCTGAACCCGGTAGAATGTTTGACAAGAAGGAAGATGTAATTGTGCAGCTGAGGCTTATCTTTCACTTAGAATTCTTTCATTGAATGCTTATAGTATATTTATATTTCCTTTTAAATGCACATGCATTTCAGTGTGCCTCATTACTGTGATTTGACAGTACTGAAGAAATAAATAAGCCAGGTTAAATATAGATGTGAAAAAATACCAAGGGGCAAGCTTTTCCTCTGCTCTCCCCCCTTTACAGAATATGCATGGAAAGACAAATAAAGCGCTATCACAAAGAAACATGTAGGAAAGAATATTAAGAATTGTTCTTGGATCAAAATGCCAGTCCCTCTTTTTAAAGGGATCTCCCTTGAAGGTTTTTTTTTTTCCTCTTAGCTGCATGAATAAACTATAGAAAAGTTTTTTATAATTAATATATGAGCTAGAAAATATTACCCAGATATCAAACCACCTTTTAAAACAATTTGCCAAGTAAGCTGTAACTTAAAAACTCAAGTTTCTGTAAATTGCTAAAAGCTTTTTTTTTCTCATTACTTTTTTGTGAGTTATTTTAAAGTTTTATAAGTGTTTTCCCCTAAAAACTGGTTTAGGACCACAGTAGTCTTGAGTTGAAGCTTTGCCGTCTTTTATTGGATTCACATATTTGAATTCAAGCTTGACTGGCGAACTAACCCTGCCCTGTTGTGGCGCAGCCTGCCACCTGCCCTCCTCTGAGAAGATCCCTGCACCAGCCTGCCCGACTGTTCATTGAAGCAGCATAAATTTTCACTTAAATCCACATACATTATTTTTTTTTTAAATAGTCGTAATCATCTTATGAGTTGCCCATGCTAAATGCTCTTATTTAATATTCTTGGAAAAGCAGAACTTTGGTATGTAAAATGCTTCCTCCAACATGCTTGTTTTTTGAAGTCTGCCGCCCCCACCGTCCTTCTCCACAGGAGACACGTATTTCCTGCAAAGCATCAGACGTTAGTGTATGACTTGATATGGCAGAGTATCTTTACATCATTTTGTTAATTTCCAAAAAGAAAGAATTGCAGTTTGTTTACTCAACAAATTATATACTTCCATTTATGCAAATTCTTAAGGGCATATTTAATTTTAATTTTAAAAGCTTCTTGGGTTTTTCTTTGTTGTTGCTGCTGATTATATGGGATTAACATATTTTTATGTTTTCTTTATGTGGTTCCCCAAATAACAGACTCTTTTAGGAAATCTAATGAAATCTATCACTGCAATTGTCATCTAATTTGTCTTTAGAGGACAAATTAAATGATAAATCTAAAAACATGTGTAAAGAGATGAAAAAATTAGTAGGTAAGTTTGACTCGAACTGTTTTTTATACACAGGGTATTGCATTCTAATGAACCTTACCCTTCTGTGGTGAGAGCTGTTCCACCAGCAGGAAGTGGATCCTTGGCGCTCTTGGCTTTCAGACGGCCAGAGTTTACTTTAGTGCACAGGAGCTTTGCTTCATCATCTGTCTTTTACTAGCGTTCTATGAAGCATTTTAAAAATACCTACGAGGGGAATTTCTGGCACCCTAGAATTCACAAATACGTATGGCATATCATTACTCTCATACTTCTCTCCTAAGAATGGAAGACGACTACCATTTATTTGTTCTCTTGTTTTCAGGTTAGATTTCGAGATTGTTTTGTTTTAACCCCAGCCTTAGGCCCAGTGTTTACTTACCTCGTTTTATGACACATTTAATTTTTATATCCAGTGACATTAAAATGTCCTGCAATAAACTGATTTTTTTTTTTATAAGATGCAAAAAAAGAGTTCTGCTTTGTACATGATATGGGAATGGATGGTCATTCGTTTCTCATGATAGAACCATGTTGGGTTGAAAGTTTTTTTTTTCTTTCTTTTTTTCTTTTATTTTGGTTTTGTTTTAACCACAAATGAGAAGTTACTAAGATTACCCTCTGTTACATTAAAAATTCAAATAAGTTATTAAATATATATATATGAAAGTTTAGCAAATGTTTGTTTTCATCTATGCTAGAAATACCAGACCATTAAATATGGCAGCTTAAATTGGACAAATTTGATAAATGCATTAGCATACTTCAGTCTAGTACTAAAGGTTCTCATGCTCTTTCTCTCCTGTTTTTCATTTCCAGTGTTCTATTTAGGTGAGTTTTTGAATTCTGACTTTTCATTTAACTTCTCCCTCTCCACTTCATGAATAAATACCCCAAAGAGAATGTCTCATTGTCTTAGAAAATGTCAGGCTTAGGTGCCTATTCAGATGCTCATTGAACATGTTTTACTCAAACTCTTCATATATAAATATTTATTTTTCTTTTATTGTTGATGTTTTCCATTTGTTTCAAGTAAGCCTTCTGAAGATGAAGACAGCATTATGTTGCAGTCTTTCATTTGCTCTGTGTTATGTGAAGCTTATATTTTATTTTGCTAAACTCAAAGAAGAGACATTTGTAAATATGTGATGGTTTTATGTTATTCTTGTGAATTTTATCTCCTTTGTCCAACTAACTATAAAGATAGTGTTCATCTGTAATGTCTTGTTTACTTTTTAGGGCCAACCTTGCCTAGACAGAATTCCCAACTACCTGCCCAGGTTCAAAATGGCCCATCACAGGAAGAACTGGAAATTCAAAGAAGGTGAGTTCACAAATAATCGTTTGCACATTTGTTACCAGAATACAGTACTGGCCAGTCTCGGTCCCCTTTGCCAATAAAAAAGAACACAGTTTGAGGAGAAGGAAAGTAGCTTCACTTGTTGCCACACGGAGGAGGCAACAACCCTTGTCCGCAGGCTCACCTCCTGTTCTGGCGCGGGCGAGTGGGGGCTCAGCCCGGCCACCGCTGCCCCAGTGTCTGCAGGCCAGCTCCACCCTGCTCACTTTGCTTTCGCCTGGCAGCCAGCCAGTCCCTGGCATCTTCCTAGGGATGCTTCTCCCCTTGGAACGTAAGAAAACAACATTGATTAAGCCTGGAAGGTAAATGAGGGAAATGGGAAACGTACCTGGTGGGGCAGAGATGAGTCCGAGGCCGTGTCACTTCCAGCACAGAATTCAATAAATTGCACGAGACAGTCAGTACTTTACTAGGACATCGGCTTTGTGGTAGGTGATTTTGCTGAGGTTAGGCTAATACAATTTGTTTTGAGCGTGTTTAGAGGATGCTAGGGTAAGCTATCATCTTTGCTACTCAGGGTGTTTTCATTTTATGCTGAGTTTACCAGGATGAGGGACATCTTTATTTTAAATACACTTAACATACAAAATGTCTCTCTACTTCAGAGAGTACTTTTATTGCAATTAGGAATTAATCTGTGATCGTTGGGACTTCTGCGAGACTAACTGAAAGGTTGCAGTAGTACTGACTGTACAAGATACTGATTTTGAGATAAACAGGGTGTCGTGATGGAATATAAAATCACTGTTTATGAATAAACTGCTTATTGGAAGCCATTAGTAATACTACCGTCATGATTTCAGTACAGTTTAGAACACATTTGAAATTATAAAACATTCTCACTTAAGGGTAGATTTTTTTTTTGAATTAGCAAAAAAATCTGAATTATTAGTGACAAAATTGTTTTATAAAATTTAGGTATATGTGGTAACTGAAAATGCATTAGTCAAACCAGATGGTTCAGTTTAAACAAATAAAAGCTTTTTGGAGAAAAGGCGTCTTATCACCGGTAAGTCCCCCGTTTTGCTTAAGCATTGATGACCTTTACACAGATTGATTCTTCAGCTGAGAACGTTTGCTCCACGGCTGGTCAACACTTGCTCTTCTTGATTTGGGCCTCACATTTAAGACCCTTTCCTCCGTATAGTCTTAGTCTGTGTGTCCTGTCTGCTAGCAGAGGGTCTCCTGCAGAGGCTCAGTGCCACCTGCTTTGATGTATGACTACTTACTTCCTGAAAAAGGTCCTAAGGGGCTCCCAGAATGAATTGTGTTTTTGCCATAGCCTGTAGATGCATTTAAATCACTCTGGGAAAGCCTCTATGTTTGGTGAAAAGCTGTCCAGCGTTCTCGAATGGTACTATAACTGATAGAAATAAAATTAACTTTCTATAGAAATAAGGAAAGTATACAAGAGATAATAGTTTCAGTTCCATATTGAGCATTTAAACTTACAAGAGTAATTCTAAGATCAGTAACTTATAATTGTACTGTTACACAAACAGTAATACAGAAAAGTAATTAATAAAAAATTATCATTGTACTATTGAGAATATGACAGTTGTACTGAGCTAGGAAGAGCTAAGAGAAACCCCAGAATGTGACCTGATTCTTTCTGGTAATGTGCAGCACGCCAGCAAGTAATCCCGGGGCGCTGGGGGCCTGTCAGCAGGGAAGGGAAACAGCACTGAGGGCACTGAGTGCTGTCGGGAATTGGCTCGTGTGTGTTCTTCTGTCACAGAGCATCACCGGCTGAGGGTGTTACAGGGCGGGGAGAGGAGCACCCCAGGACCCCCAAACCTGCCCGCACTAAATAGGTTCTGCCATCCACTGCATCAAGACAAAACATAAAAGGCCTTTAATGCGAAGGAACATGAATACAGCAAATGTGCAGTGCAGAAAAGACAATATAGTTTCTAAACCAAACTCCCAAAGTTAGGTGTCCCCTCGTGGGTACAGTCCCCCCGAAAAGGCACTGGCTCAGAGCAAGCCCCGAGTGCCCGACACAGTCTAAGTCACCTTCTGGCGGGGACCATAGAAAGGGTCAGACATGGCCAGACACGTCTGAAAGGAAGAGAGCGACATCAGAATCAAAGCTGCCATTGCCACCCCCGACGCGTCTCTCCCCCATGTCTGTGTCCCCCAGTCCAGGGCCAAGAAACAGCCGCTTCTCCACGTCTCTGCTCCCTGTGCTGCCAGGGTCTCCTCTGACTCCATCCTGCTTCTTTCCTCCTCGGTCTCTCTCAGAGTCTTCTCTTTCCTGTTCAGCTCCATCACCCTCCTCTTGGTGGGTCAGGCAATCTGGAACCCCCCCCTTTTCCTGGGGACCCCCTGTTACAAGGGGGCTGCCTGGGAGGTCTTGGAAGTCTGCAGAACAAGCAGACTGAGAAACTCCTTAAGAGTACAAGAGCGGCACACAGACTTGTCTCAGACGTTGAGCTAATTTCGTTGGACCAAAGCCCTCGCTCACCTGAGGCAGCTTGCTGAGTTCTCAAGGGAACCCTTCTGTGGCAAATGCCCTTCCATGCGCTGAGCTCACATGGCGGAGGAGAGTGCTGGCCGGCACAGCTGATCGTGGGTAGCGTCTGCTCTGGTCGATCAGCTGGCTACTGTGGCTCTGCCTGTTTCCACCCTCTGCGTGCTGACCTAAAGCCAGGTCTGACCCAGGTCCTGTCTCACCTGTGCTTCAGTACTTCCAGGGTGTGCTGGCCACTGCGCGTTTCCACTTGTGAGTCCAGTTATGTTCCAGATAATGTTCTAAAACGCTCAGGATGTATCCAAGCGGGAGTGGGGGCCTGAGCGTAAAAAACCACACCCTAACAATTAACATGCCTCTTGCGCTAGAAGATGGTAGGTGCAGTGGGAAGGGATAAAACTGAGTGGAAGGAAGTTGGTGTTGTCGAGAGGGGCAAGGGGAAACAAAAGGTTGTGTTAAATAAGTTGATCAAGGTTGACCTTATCAAAATGAAAAGAAAGATGTTAGCTAAGTGGGTAACTGGGTAAACACTCAGGGAGAGACAAAGGGCCACTGAGGCTGGAGCAGTGGGAACCAGCGGAGACAGGGAGCATGGTGAGTGAGTTCGGCAGGGGCGGGACTCGTAATGCAGGACCGGCACACAGCAGTGAAGAACCCCACTTTGGCTTTGAGGGCTGAGGAGGGGCCCTTGCATGACTTTGATAGGAATGACCTGACTTAACATTTCAGCAGTGTTAAGGCTGAACATCGAGAAGCAGGGATGGAATCAGGCAGAGAGTATAAAGTATGACCAGGTCAGTGCACCTGACATCCAGACAGTGAGTTTCAGGGAGAAGGTGTAAGGGAAAACGAAACATGAGGAAATGGAATTCGCATAGAAATAACATGCGAAAAATTCTTCCAACTCAGCGAGTTGGTCTTGGAGGCCAGAGGTCAGCAAATACTGCCAGCGAAGGGCGATGTCATGTGTATTTTAGACACGGGCCACGAGGTCTCCGTGGCCGTTGTTCAGCTCTTTGTAGCTCACTGCAGACTGGGCATGGCCACATGTGGGTTTGGGGTGCAGCTCGCCAGCCCCCCTGACCGCGATGGCAAGGCTGACCACGCGTCAGCCCCCTCAGTAAGGAGACGGACAGGGCCAGCCACTGAGGCATAGCACTTGGAAATACTCATATACCAGCATAGGAGGCAGATTGCTTTACGCTGGGCAAGGGGGAGGTTTCTTCGAAATCCTGAAGGACGATTTCCAATCTGAATTTGTCATTTAACACTTCCCCTCTGCGCAACCTCCCAAGAAGCTACTATAGATGTCATCTGTGAAGATGATGAGGGTGAGCAGGGGGATGAAGCCATGGAGTGGGGTGGGGGAGGGGTCCAGCTCGAGAGAGAATCAGGGATCCCAGTGCGGCCGGCATGAGAACCCAAGCTAGGGCAGACAAGCTGATCTTAGCGCTGCTGGGGTGTTTCTGAGGGAAAGGAAGAGCAAACTAAGCAGAGAATAAGTAGATTCACGTGGTACATTTGGCCATGTGTAGAAGTTGACAGTTCTGAGGAAGAATTGAGGTGAAATGGGGTAGGGATGTAGATAAAGAACCAAGGGAGAGGGGTAATTTTTAACACCAAAGAAATTGTTCTGAAAATTAAATACCATCAGCTTATATTATTCGACTATGAGTAACATAATATTGAAGTGTCCGAATAGGGAATTATGAGTTTACTGGGAGAATGACAAGGAAAGGTGAGGGTGTGCGGGAGTCGAACCATGGGTGGAGTGGGAACCAGTAGATAACAGCGAGTCTGCAAAGCTCTGGGGAAGCGAAAGTTCTACAAAGTACTGCATTCGCTTGGGAGGGAGGTGCCCCAGGCATGGAAGGTGGCTGCTTCTGAGGCTGAAGTCGCAAGCAGCATCGCCTTGGGAGAGCCACTGTTAGTTTGTAGTACGCTTGGCTTTTTCAGCTATGTCTTAGTTTTAATTTATATTTTTCAGTGAGATTGAGGTAAATAAAATGAAATTGAGTTAGTAAAATGAGCATTTCCTCAAAATGTGAAATGCGTTAGTCCTTTGCTAGACCTTCAGGTAGGAGAGTTTTCTGTTCCTGTATGTATCATCTGTGAAGAGTGCATTTTGGTTCGGCTCACTGATACTTGACTGCCTTGCTGACTGTGATGATAAAACACATTCTAAGAAACATGAGTCAGTCTGTTGTTAGTCTCAACATAGAACTGAATTTAGTTAGTATCTATAAATAGTTTGCAAATCATCGTACTACCTGACCGTTATAAGGGAGGAGCAGTGAGCCCAGCGCTCAATGTGGCAGGAGTGGACCATGAACGCTCAGCCGCCGGGCAGCCTGCAGAGGCGTGACGGGCCCCAGCTGGGCCGCTTCCTCCTGTAAGTGCGGGCACTGAGCCTGGGAGCTTGTTAGCACTTAACTGCTTCAGTTTCATTCATTTTCCATTTGCTTACTAATAGAAACATGAAATGTTCACA